TTTACCTTCATCCACCATAAATATGCTGGGTTAACTTACTACCTCATTACGAACTGATGACCGCTTATCGGGGCCATTCGTTTAAAACAGGGTTAACTTATACTCAGAAACAACTTTCTGAAGTGAAGAGTGCGTGTGCATAGCCTTGATTGGCGCTTAAGATGCGCGGGCGTTTTTAACTTCGGCTACATGCCAAAAAAGTTGCCCAAGTCACCCCCGAGTATAGTGCATTGTCACAGATGGTAATGCAAACTTGTCAGGGTTATATCTTCAATATACGAGCTAGTAATATAAAACATATCCTTGCTTTATTTTCTAAAAATAATATAGAGGAAATATAAGCGACTAAAGTCAATGACAGGTTAAGAAAAATCTAAAAGAAGAAAGCCGATGGACGCTTGAAATGGAGAGAAGGTTTCTCCTCTCCCCTACAAGCTTCTGTCCGCTTTCTCCTCTCCAGCTCGTAGATTTTTTCTTAACCTGTTACTGACTGTAGGGCAAGAAGGATTAAATATGGGTAGAACCAACGTTTCTTGAAACATGCTTAAAATTCCTGTGCATCTACTTCCCGCAGAACACTCGAGAAGCCAATCACACCAATCCGCGAAGAGAGCTCGGCGAATAAAGAGGCCAAAGCATGTTTAGACATATGAATGAAGCGAGAGATGTCACTGAGCATGGCGGTTCACGTACTGACTTCATGCTCAGTGTCACGTTACAGACTTCATTTTTAAGTCAAACACATTTTCAGCTTCTCCATTGGCCGAGTTTTCTTCGTAGATTGCATTGATCGGCCCCTCGAGTATTCTCAAGGGAAGTGGACGCACGGGCATTTTTAAAAGCAGAGAAAATGCGGTGGCACGTTGGGCATTGTTTTACGTGTGTACTGCACATATATTGTAATTCATTGACTTCCGATTTTCTTCCTTTACTACTTCTTGGATGGAAAGGGAACGCTTGATGCTGCGTACCATTTTTCGCTTTTACACATTGTTGTAGCGAAGGGGGCTTCGAAGGGGACGCTTCGTCATCCGCTGGTCGCGCTCTCTAGATCGCACTGATTGACCCACTAAATGTTTTGAAGGAAATCATATCTGCGGGTATGTTTTAGAGCGTAAGGCTAAACGAGAAATAAAATGCTTAGTGAAACCTATACAATTATAATTGATCTGAAAGCGCGGCGAATGAGCAACTCGCAGCATAATAATACAGAGGAAAATACATGTGTTCATATTCTTGCTTTCTTGTTGTAGGAAGTCCGGACACTGATGCCACTCATCCATCTCCAGGAAAATGAATTTGACATCTTTTTGGACGGTGTCCTGACAGTGAGCGACATCAGAACGACAGTAGAAGCTGTGTGCACATTGCTGGCAGTGATACCCGTCTCGTCTTGAAACTGTTTCGAATTTTGTTAGCTTTTTTACTGCGAACAGAAGAATCAATTTTTGCTACTCCAATAAAGTATATGATTGGACATGATGTTTACTGTTCTGCCTGTGACCTAGTTAATTACGTACAGGAATGAAGTGTGTTGACTCTGGCCAGACTGATGTTTGTCAACCTGTCGAAAAGGCCCAGTGCTAGCGATTAATGAACAATCTAAAGACACTTTGGTTGGTAGAAAAAAAATGCACCTTGTGGAGCAAGAAATACAAAATACGATTTACTAAAAACTAACTAGGAATGTAAAAAAAACTCATTTGTCATAAAAGAGGGTTAGAAGTACAAAATATGGTTTACTCAAATAACGCCAACATAATCTAAAGAACTCGGGATTTATTGAAAGAACCAAGGAGGGTTCCGAATAAAACATGAAATAGGGTTCACAAAGAAAAACCAAAAAAGGATCCGTAAAGAACCTCGAAATAAGGTTCATTAAGAGCACGAAGAAGGGTTCTGGAAAGAACCCGAATGGGGTTCATTAAGAAGAACCAATAAAGGATACGAAAAGAACCCTGAAATAGGGTTTATTAAGAGCACCAGAAACGGTTCTAGAAAGAACCTGACATAGGGTTCATTAAGAGCACCAGAAAGGGTTCTTGAAAGAACCCGAAATGGAGTTCATCAAGAGCACCAAAAAGGGTTCGGGAAAGAACCCGAAATAGGGTTGATTAGGAAGAACCAAAAAAGGATCCTAGAAGAACCCCTAAATAGGGTTCGTTAAATAGAACCCAGAAGCGTTCTGAAAAGAACCAAAAATAGGGTTCATTAAGAAGAACCAATAAACGATCCGAAAAGAACCCCGAAATAGGGTTCATTAGAAAGAACCCTTTTTGTGGGTTCTTTTCTGCACCTTTAAGGGTGCCGCCCATTGGACAAGCGAAAGAACCCTAAAAGGTGCTAGTTGGCACGCTTTTTTTTTAGAGTGTACTGAGCTCCCATTGGCCGCTGCGCCATGGCTTCCGAGATCCCGAAGCGCGCGCGCAAGTACGCAGCAGACGACAAAGTGAGCGGACGAGCAGACAACAGAGGGGGCGGACGAGCGGCTTGGATGCTTTCGCATTCACAACTCATAAGAAATGCCGGGTGTACCTCGAGCTTTTTGCCTTGCACCAATGAGTCCGGAGTGTTGGCCGATAAGAAGGCCGATTAACGAATCACGAAGCAATCAGCGTGAACCTACTAAGCCTCGATCTGCAATTCTTAGGTTATTCCTATCAGTAGCGATATCATCATCGCGTTTGAGTCGCTTGATCATTTCATTGGGCCTCGTCGAAAGCAAAGTGAGACGTCTCCCGCTGTCACGTGAACCCGTTGGTGATGTTAATAAGTGTCTCCTTATCTTCGACATGAGTCCCGTCAGCGTCTCTTTGGAATCTCGGCGGGAACAAAGGCGCAGAAGAATGGAAGCCTTATTACGTGTAACGAGCCCGCATCGAGCAGTCTGATCTTTCGCGGCGTTTCCACCCAGCGCCTCTGTTGCCAATTTTCGAGGCTCTCAGTCGACCGTTTCTGGCTCTCCCGCCTCCCACGCCGTATCAAGGTCCGCCCACGGAATTCTGAAGGAAAGCTCGCTCGGCGTGGTTCGGCGGCCTACACTCGAGAAAGGAAATCCCGGTTGCACGCGAGCGCGCGCGCGAAGGATACCGCCGACGAGCGCTAAGCACAGACGCCGCCGTAGTATATACCATGAAAAAGATGAGCTCGCTCGAGGAGGGTAGGAGTACGAAGGCGCATCACTCTCGTAAGAACAAGACGAAGAAAAGTCCGTATACCTTGCTGTGCCTCATTGAACACGAGGTATAGTGCGCGGGGAGGAGGAACGCGACGGGCTAACGGGGCTGCCTTTTGTGCGGGAAGCGTTGCTGATGTCAAGCGGGTGCGAGAGATTCGCCTTCGAGGCTACCTCGTTTGCGAGCCCCCGTTTCACCGTAACTCGGCAAAGAGCGAACGCTGCGGCCCCCTCGAGCCAATCAGAGCGAAGAAAGCGAAGCACGGGACTGCCTTCACCAAAGGTACAGGGGCAAGAATGGATCCCTCCGACGGGCGCTGATTGGTTTACGGTAACCGTAGTTTTCGCTGTTTGTCAAGTTGACATGAAATGGAGTATAGACGGTTCGTATCCAGTTTGGCAAAAGGCAGTATCGTGTTTTTTTTTGTTTTTTTTTTTTTTTATGTGCCTAGCGGCGTAGGCGCCTGCGGTTCTATTTTGCTCCAATGAGGTAACCGGCTTTGTTATTGGCAACACGGAAAAAGTGCGTGAGGTGAGGTATCTCTGACGAGCCGTCCGGTTTATTTTCGAGACGAATGCCACGAGGAAAGTCTAGAGTTGTATTAAATGTATGGAGGTCACATTCGAGCGTCACTGTGACAAGTTGAAGGAACAGTGATGGATTTCCCGAGCTATAATTTGTCATTCAAATTTCGCGAAAAACTGTTTAAAAGAGAACTGAGTTGACGTTCAGAGATAAGCCACATGCCGATTTTAGCTGTCAAACGTCTTGGAACATCCAACCCTTTTTCCACATATAAAATATAAAGGAGCAAAATTTTCGTTCACTGACATTATAATAAAAAAAAAGCCTTCAATGAAAGTCGCATTGTTTCTGAGTGTATGCATTCTCTAAAGCACGATTCGCGTGGAGAGGTTTTAATCGCGATTTCGCAAAAGAGCACCGCAGCTTTCACCACGCATCTTTTTCTTTTCTTTTTTTGTCACATGAGCAACGTTTCAACTACGAAATCGCGATTAAAATCGTGCCACGTTAATGAGGCTTTATGGTTGGCCTATTTCATGCCGCAAGAAACGACGCAGAGTGAAGTTATCTACGAAGCATTTGGACGCAATTACTCGTAATGGATTTCACTACTTGTTCAAGCATTACCTTTCAAAGAAGTTCCAGTCATCCTGGTTCGATTAAGGTAGCGCATTCACGCCTCTGTGGAGTGCGCCCAGCTAAGTACAATTATTTTGTTCTCTGAGGATATGATGAGGGAATTTATCCGCGGACGCGCCTTACTCATTTTCGAACCATGTTTGCGTCGCACATGCGCATGTTTTGAACATCTCTGCAGACCACTTTTGTACGACCGATGTGACGGGATCGCCGTACAACGAAGAAACGCACCTAGGACGTTTTCTGCACACTGTCGTTTGTATAATGTATTTGCAGGGTGAGAGTGGTTTTAACGGAAAATCCTCTCATGCCTCAACATAAAAAAATAAAAATTCTGAAATTTGTGCTTAAAATATTAGCACAATCTTTGTAGAATTTTTTGTTTTCTCTTGATTACTGTTTTTCCCGGCTCTATTGCTGCTTTCTGTAGGTGGTCAGGGACCCGTTAAGCTTTGCCTGACAGCTTTTTTCCCTCATCGCCACCATCTGGTGGAAATAAACATTATTATTATTATTATTATTATTATTATTATTATTATTATTATTATTATTATTATTATTATTATTATTATTATTATTATTATTATTATTATTATTATTATTATTATTATTATTATTATTATTTACGACTCCGGCTGCAGTCAGCCGTCGGCCACTCACCGTAGTATCCCTTCTTTCGGTTACTGGACGAAGAGGATCGGCTGTTGGGTTCCACCATGTGGTCCTCGTAGTCCGGCTGTGGATGAGAAACGGAGTGGTTAGCTCTCCAAGTAACACGAAAAAGGCGGCGGGATATTTTATGTCCGAAAGCGTGAGAACTTTATCATTTTATTCACGCGGTGAAGGCCACGTACCGCTTTGGAGACGACCGAGGGATGCGCGAAAGAGTGAACATAAAAACAATTACTGTCAAGACCGTTTTATAGCGAAGTCAACGGGAATCGGAAATCACTTCGATATATCCGCTATTTCGTTATAACCGACTTCGGTTAACGGAGCGCAAAAGGGAATGGCAAATCGTGATCGCTTCGCCGTAGCCGCTATTTCGTTATAATTGACTTCGTTATGACCGGTCTCGACAGTAACCTCATTCTGAAATGTTCGTCTTCGTCCTGCAGCCCTAATCTACACGGCGGGAGGAAGCCAAGCCTGCTGCGATTGCTCAGCGCCGGGCCGCTGCCCCACAGCAGCGGGCGGCGATGTGCCGGTCCCTTCTCTCCGCTTGGTCGCGACAGATTATCGGCTCCCATCATATTTAAATTGCAGATCTATTTTCGAGCGAGTTGATCTTTACGCAATAAAAAAAAAATGTTGAGATAATTACGGTATAGGAAGACTAAAAGTTCTAGATTATACTCGTTATGGCTTTTTCCATCGATCCCGTTTTACATCGCATCGTTGTAGACGAGCGAACTTCATTCTATTTTGTCCTGTCTAATAAACGTTGCTCGCACGATTTCTTCGAAAATCTTTATGGCCTCCAATATAGGAGGATCGACGTACTCACAATTGTTCCTAAAAGGGATTGCGAGGCCTGATATCCCTATTGAACTATCCGAATGCCATAAAAAAACACCATGCGTGTCCGCTCTAACGCCAGAGTTAGTAATGCCACGAAGAGAACAAACTCTAAGAGACAACACCTTTTTGTTATGAGACAATTCAAGACAAAGTTATAAAAGAGAGGGAAACGGACGCACGCATGTCTCGTTAATATGACCACCTTCGTTCCTACAAAAAATCGACCATAATGCGAGCTGTTCATAATTATGAGACAAAAATTCACGCCTTTATCCACATCGCCCCAGGAAATGCTGTCTACATTAGCGGGATGTCCCTATTAACAGGCTTCACATTATCGAGACCTCACTGCATTGTCCTAAGCACTCCACGATCTCCGCGAGATGCGTGACGATACCCAAAGGATCGGTTTGTATTTTGTGAGTAAACACTCGGACATGTTTTCCGCTTTCTTTTGGTGCAGACTGCCTCCAGGGTTTCGGGTGGACTACGCGTTCCCATTTCTATGCATCCGTGCCGAGGAAATCCTCATTTCACGTAAGCCACGATGAATACAGAAACTCAAAGTCTTCCGGGGATTCATAAACATGCCTGAACCGCTATCACACGCTTCGACTTAACGCATTGACCGGGAAGAATAGCTTCGGTTTCAAAAACAAAAAAAAGAACGCCCGCGACAAACCTAAACGCACCGGGTACCCCCCCCCCCCCCCCCCCCCCTGAATGAGCGCAACATCTGCGCTCGACATCTCGTTCAAATGTCATCGCTTGGGGGGAACTTAATGGGCGGCTAAGATTGTAAATTCAAAGGGTGTGCGGGCTCCATTTCCTCGACTGAGCGCGTGCTATCGAGCCGCCCTGTCTAGGAACGGCATGTGTCTCAAGGAAGGTTGACCCGGTTGGTTTTTAGTTTTTGTTTTATTGCCGTAATCTATCGATACAACCCGTAGGGCGGTCTGATAAGCGAGAAAGACCGCGGTATTTAGCGCGATTTGTGCCCTTTGGGCGTATACCGCCGACGTACAAACATAATCTAAAAGAAATGTGTCTGACTGTGTGATGCCGGTTGAGGTCAATGAGATGGCGCCTTGGCAGTTTCGTTTTTGGTTTTGTTGCTTTCGTTTTGTCGGTGGCTCGAGGCGACAGATATACCGCTACGTTTTGGGTCAGTGAAAGTGAAGTTTCTCGGCGGACATTGATTGGTGGAGCGCGTAGGATTGGAGGAGTCAAAGCTTGACGGCCGTTTGAAGGGGTCTCTCTGCCTTTTGCTCCGCAATAGACACTGTGTTTAAGGGGGCGACTTGTCGGAAAGAAGCCCGTCCCCGACGCCTAATGGGCGAATAACAGCTTCGATTGCGAGGCGTCCCAGCTCGCCGAGTGGTCCTTATATTGTTGTCAAAGTGTGCCTGCGGCGTTGACTTATCCATGATTTTATTCTCACATCCGTCGCCGAAGGTGTTAGTAAGAGCTGTCAACGTATAATACGAACACGCCTGTCGGGATAAATAATTTTGACACACGATCAAAAAAAAAAAAAAAAGAATAAAAGATAATAATAATAACGGCTCGAAAAAAGACAATAGATTGAAACTCTTCTTGATTCTCAGCCAATAAGGCGTAGCATGGTTATTGTCACTGACAGCTTAAAAACCGTATGTTTAACTTTGTTGCTTCGTTCTTTGGCATCCCTATCGACTAATGTTGGAGGCGTGTTTGCCTCATAACTTTGTGTGCCCGGAACTTGCCTCCAGAAAATCTTTTGTATGACGTATTAGCAGTGTGAACGCTGCTCCTGGACTGCCAGTGACTGTAACGACAATAACATATTCCACGTTTGCCTTGTGTCTGTTAATCTCGCGGCAAGTTAAAATAACGTCTGTATGGAAAGTGGACGTTCGTTCGTTCGAGCGCGACCGTATTACGCCATCCCGATTCGCCGTATGTCATGTAACAACCGCCACGGGTGTCCTTGCCCCAGCAGCATCGGTACCGCTATCCATTACGTCGAGACGTGGGCCAACAACGTCTCGAACGTCGTTCGGAATCGACAACGAGGATCGCTAATCGCCCATGCTGCATCTCGCTTTCTCGAATGCAACGACGAGGCAACCATTAAACGCTAACTTAACCGCGCCTCGTGATTCGCCCGTACCGTTACGTCACTCCCTTCCGTAAAACGAAGCGGCTTGGCGTCCTTTGCTTTGTTTTGTTTGTTTGTTTGTTTTTATCTGAGAGGAAGCATAACGAGGTCGCTAATACGCGGTTACCTGAACGAAGAACAGGAACGTTGTACAGGGTTCGGATTGCGATGTGCGCGCAGCCGAACACGCGACCGCCCTCCAAATTGCGACAGGTCCGATCGGAAAGCTATTTGTCCGACTCGCGCGGGACCCCCTGCATTGTTGTTACGACGAGAGGGGTTACGTCCTACTGAATGCCGCGGAACGCTGTATGTAATCTGTGAATGGATTTGTCGATGTTGAATCACCGACCCGACATCGAAGCAGTGCGTGCCCCCCTTCTGCGAACAAGTTGCGTACGTGCGCAAGGAATCCTGACTGAAACTAATGTAATAGAAAGGGACTGAAACGTCTGGATCCCTAGAGCAAATACACGCCTGTGTCTTTTTAGGGGCGGTGTCATTTTTGTACGCATAATTAGTTGTTCTGTACCATGACATTACCGGCAAGCGCTTCTATTTTAGCATTACAAGTACAAAGTATAATCCGAGTATTTGATTAGACGTTTGAGGCTTGATCATTAAAAAATAACTAGTTATTACGCAAGAATATTCACAAGACGTGAAGTGGCGTGTGATACCTTTTTAATGTCTTTAACTAACGGTAATCGAGTGGAAGCCACTTTGATGCACTTATTGAGGTACAAAGTCGAGTTTGTGTTTCATAGAATTTTACAGTTGTTCGTTTCAATGCTTGTTTATGTAGAAACGTTCTGTGCCAAGGACTGTTGCGGAAATATTGCTAAGCTCTACATAGCCTATGTTCCCTGGGTTACCCCCGTGTGTACGTCCACCGACTGACCTTCTTCGCAGTCTACGCCTGTATTTGTCAATATCGGGCAGCTCTCGATGTGCGCCCGCTTAAGTTTACTCCCTAAAACATTCATTCGAGAACAATACCCGTGAAAGAGAAAACATGATATTCCAATCTACCGACTTGTCCGGGAGCATAATATGCGGCATTATCGTTCGCGTCCGCGCCAAGCTCGCCGGCGGTGGCCCTCTCCCGCCCGAGCACAATCGTGTGCAGGGACCGGGAGCTTGCCGTCCAGGAACGAGCTCGTTTGGCCCGCCTCAGAGAAACGACTCCGCAAAACAATGCCCAACACGAAACAATGAGCAGTCCTTGGCAGTTTCGCCGCGGCGACCCAGATCTTTGGAGCCGAGCGGCCAAAGCCGCCTCGTCTTCCGCGCGGGCGAGAGCACGTCGGGGACACCGGCTGACCGCAGCACCGGCGGCCGGTGGCCGACGACGACCAACTTACTCTCACTTTCACGCGCTGTGAAATTGTCGCTGACCGCGCTCGATTCCGGAAGCGAGCAATCGGCCGGCGAAGAAGACGCCGCCGCTCGGTAATGCTCGAATCTACGACGAGGATGATCTCCGTGTTGGTTTTCCTTTGCACGAGGGGACGACGATTATTTGACTGCCCTCGGTCAATAACCAGCTAGAAGGCAAGGCTTGCGAATGACGTCATCGTTAGTGGATCTTCGGCGCGTCCCCGGCGGCAAACACGCTGAAGCTTGGCAAAAGTACGCCGCAAAGCCCCAGACGAGCACGTTTGACTACGTTGCCTGGAACGCGTCCCTGATTGGCATATTTCAGCGTCCTATGCGCAACGCGAGTTTGTCGGCTTCTTTTGCGGGAGTTGTGGTGTCGTCAGAGTGCCGAGCTCTGATTGGCACTGACTGCAGGACAGTGGGTAGACCTTAAGGCAGCTTGCTTCGAGGTATACCCACTGTCCTAGAACCAAAGTCATTCAGAACTCGGCATCGTTCTGACGTGACCGCCGCCCCTGTGCAATAAGCAGACAACTTGATCTCCGCATTCCGCCAATGCATCAAAAGTGAACCCGAAGCGGCGACAAATTACGTGACGAAAACCCAAGTGACATGCTGTCGAATGTCACGATCCTGGCGTTTAGACGTAGAAGCTCTGGAAAAAGAACGCGTGTGTAGTTGCTGTCGCGGCGTCCCAATTCGTGGCTGCTGAAGCCTCCGTATATTGCCAAGCTGGAGATGACCTGTAAAATAACAGGCGTCTGCCATAACCAACATTACTACTGTGAGACCACCAGGACCACGGCCGGCGACAACGTGACACTTTTATGACGTCATCGGACAAAAATCGAAGGACCACTTCTTAGGACGCGGTAAGCACACCAGTCAGAGACGCGTATAGCTCCATTCACCATAGTCTAACGTCGCCACGTGGATCCACTAGTGATGACGTCTGTGGGGGGAAAGGAACCGGCCTGGTTTTCTAGGAGGTATAGCTTCTTCGGTTCGGCGAGATAGGACACGAAACCGATCGTGCGAGAGAAGGGATTGAGCTGGCGTCTTGAGTTTCCGGTCGTTCTGTTTTTGACCTGGTTCCCTCTGCTTTCGGCTGAAGAAGCTACTCTGTGCGGCGAAGCGTGGCTGACCTTTAGCTTCTGGTCGGAGATGTTCGAAAGAGGTCGACTTGATCTAACGTGTCTGCGTGACTCCCGCCCGCGGCAGTTAGGGCCGTGAAATACGTCGTCTTTTTTGCGTAATTTCCGCTCGTACACGAGTGGATAGTAAGGCACCTATCGATTAAGCCAGAACAGCAATTCAGCAACAGAAAAGCTAGGCCTTGCTTATTGACCCATGTCCAAAGTTTATCTTGAAGTGTTCAAAATTTGTTGCGGAGCAAACTATTACGTGCACATGGAATTTATCTTGATAACAGGTGTAGTATTTCGTGCCACGGAGAATATCTCTCTTGGTCCCTGGACAACATTATGTAGAAACCTAAACATCAATTCGTTCCTTCTATGAGAGCGAAAGGTACTAACGTTTCATTGTTTCAAAGCACTATCTTAAGCTTTCCGTCTTACCACCTGTTCAGCAATGTCTGACACCAGAGATCCTTAGTCGGTAACGGGCAAAGGGTTTAGGGGAAGCTCCCTGACCTCTCTCCGCTTTAGCAGAGCGAACGCTGGAAAGAAGGTCGCCTCCTCTCCAACATTCGCTCTGCTAAAGTGGAAAGAGGTGGGAGGAGCTGCCCCTGAACTCTTGACCTGTCATCGACTACAGCTCTTTTCATATTGGTTGAACTACGGTCAAGGAAGCGGAAAGTCTTCACAGGGTGACAAAGATGAAAGAGATATATCTGCACGTGTACGCTTCTGTTTTCGTTCATTCGTGCCGTATAAAATACGAATGTGATGATCTATACAGGCGTCCAAGGCATTTGACAAAAAAATACGCAAGTAAATTAAGTTTGTCGGAGATCGCAACCAGTCTAGACCAGGCTGATTCCGGCGAGATGGAAAGGGGGGGGGGGGGGGGGGATACTTCAGCTGTGGCTCTTTGAGAGACAACTGACTGACCCTTGGCACGCTCACTCTTGGCAAGTCCCTGGGCGGAAGTTTGGGTGGCCTGGTCTCCTTGGCGGGCTGCTGCTGCTGCTGCCCCCTGGGCGTGGCCCCGGGCAGGCTGTACGGGTCCTCTTCCATTGCTATCCTGGATCTCTCGAACACGCTCATCAGATTCGGCGCGCTCTGTCGCTTGGACACTGCGGCGAAAAGAAAGAAAAACGATAAGATTTTATGTCATGGATTAGTATTGTGTCAGAGCTCTGTCACTTTTCCTGGGAGGTGACCTAGGAAATAGAATTCCCAGTGTCTTGGACCTTTTGAAACTAAATTGCGTCTTTGTTTATATAGTGCGCAATTGGTTTTCCCTTATGAATGTCTGGGACAGCTTGCTAAAAGCATCTCAGCTGGGGCTGTGTGAAAGAAAACACTGCCAACGATAGCACACGAGTGAAGTTGCATGAGAAGTCGAGTCTCAAACGCTCGTGCACTGCAGGCCAGACAGACTTTAATTCACACACTCTACGCTAAGACGCTGGGTAGTATATATGCTCCGCTTGCGGAGCAGAGTATCGCAATGGTGTTTTCAGGGCGGCCATGTTGGATCCAAGGCCGAACTGCCGGAAGCGACCGTCGCTTCTGCAGGATACTCGGAGGCGCGGATGGCGTTACTGTGAAGCGGCGAGCTGCAGCGCGCGGAATCGAGAAGATATAGTGCGGCAACACGCCGCGCGTTCGCCGTCGTCCCGTCTGTTGCCTCCTATTTTTTTTTTTTATGCTCTCGGTAGGACGTGGTAGCCAAAAAAAAACAACAAAAAACGTCCTGCTTTTGCAAGCCGTAGCTGCGTTTTGTTGTCTGGTCCGAGGTGCCCGGATGTGCCGGTCGCGTATCTCTCCGCGAGCGTCGCAGACTCGAGCAACGCGACGGTCCTCCGTGTCGTCTTCTTTCCAAACTTTGGAAACATGTTTTAAAACATGGGTCGCTTTATTAAACAACGCAGTTATACAGCCTCCAGTGGTTACATATGAAGTTCAATGGTCAAAAGCAACCTTACAGTTCGTTCGATTCTATTGTAGGATGTATATTTCGCAAGCGCATAGCGAGAAACATGCTCCGCCGAAACTCGGCGCCTGTAAGGTCGCTTTCCCTTATGAAGGTTGAATTCAGCTCGCCGTATGTGGCGGCTTCTTCGCCAATACGGATTTGGCAGCGCAAAGAACAGGAACGCGATGCTCTGGCTCTGCAAGCAGAGCCTATACGGTTACATCAAGACGCTGACCCTAGCAACCCCACCCTGGTGCCTCCGCTGCGGATAAAAAATTTAGCCAGTGCAATACCGCAGGCCTGGGTTTTTTAACGTACGTTATGCAGTACAATGATTACACGACCGCACGGCGGTACAATGCTCATCTATCGAATCAAAAAGGGCAGGGATGAAGATTGAGTCCTCACTCTACATAATGTTCTCAAGCTCCATTCGGGTGTAAAAAAGTTCGGGTAAATAAACCAATAAACAGAGTGCATTGAAACTTTTCGCAAAGGCGGTGCATTTTGCATACTCAACATGTATGAATGTAGATTTTAAGAAAAAAAAGATAAGCTTAAAAAATCTCTTTTTCTCTGAAAAAAAGGGGAGTAAAACGGTAATAAATCATCTGGTTGAAGCTGCTCCTTCCTCACAGATGGCACAACATAAAAAAAAAAAAAAAAAAAAAAAAAAAAACGTCAAAGCTTTTTTGAGAGGAACACCCTAAAGCAGATGCAACAGATTCGAGCGTGTGTGCCGTACCGTCAATGAGTGGGAGCACCAATCAGACGAATTTTGCAGCCTTCCACCTTGTGCACAAGAAAAAGCAGGATTGTTTTAGGCTTTATTTTATTTCGCCAACACCTACACTTTTATAATTTGAGTATGATAAATGCCCCACCTAAATACACCTTTCTTGAATGTTTCAATGCAGTCAGTTTATTGGTTTATTTATTCAATTTTATTTTACGCCCACATAAGGCTCGAGAACACACTGTATAAAGGTAGCGAGTTCACTTCCCTGCGGGAATACGGAGGCAGCCAATCATGGCACACAAAGGATGGATCCCAGCTAATAACGAAGGTTCAAATAAAATAAAACGAGAAGCGAACTCAGACTTTATTTGTTGGCACGTTTAGCGCAAACATGAAATCGACGATTTGTTTTCTTCTTAGAATGCGGAGGCTGTAATTAACAATGCTAGTAAAGTGGGAAGTCTACCTGTTTCAAACAATAACGTAGACGATCTTAACAGTGTTGCCTGATAATGCTCTTTTGACACGTGCCAAACTATGTCGAGTAGGTTTTTGGTCTGTCTCCCTTTCCATAACATGATGTAAACAAAACTGGATTGAATCGAATACAAAACACCATGGTAACAATATCGCGAAGCATATTCACGTGGCATTTGTCAGTTGTTCTCGTAGGTATTAAGTGCACGTTATTGCGATCATATATTTACAGCAATACAGCCTTTACATCATTTACTAATACTTTCTTTTGTATGTTTTTCTTCTGATTTATGTATTAGCTGGGAAATTCTTCACTGCGAGGGAATACACATATTTCGGTTCCGCTTTGGACGAAGTAAATCGGCGCCAAAAAACGACTTACGAAGTAAGGGGGGGCTCTGTGTCAAATTCTAGCACAAACATTTCTTTGCCCGTTGTAACGGAGCTGGAGTGCCACGGCTGGAATAGGCCATTAGACGACTCGAAAAAATGCTCGCGAGCGTGGGTACATTTATCGCGACACTCCGAGCAGCCCGCGGGGAGTTCCGTGGGAGTGACCGTCTGTATGGCGTGTACACGACACGCCCAGAATACCAATCGGGTGTCCGCCTTGTTCAATTTCGCAACGGTCCGGCGAGAAGAAACTGAACAACACCCAGCGGTTACACCCCGCCTTCGCGTTTCGTCGGTTCCATTTGTAGCATTGGTGGTGCTCCGAATGTTTCATATGCTCAATGCGCGGAGTGTGTTCGATTTGCTCATCTAGTTTGTTGCCCGAATAATGCCTTACGGGCTCCTATATCTGATGACATGATGTTCGCGCATACGAAATGGAAGTTCACTTTGAAAACAAAGGCGACATCTTTATTATTTTTTTTTCGCAAATTAAACAGTAAGGTATTGGGGGCAGCCCTAGCGGCCAAATGAAGAAGTAAACCCATAGAGGCATTAACAACTTACATTATTTGTTTGTGTTTCTGATGCATTACTCGGCTGATGTAGCCGAAGGCTAGGTCAAATCTGGGCTGAACCTCGTGTTCAAAAAGCGAAGCACTAGTTTAGAAAACAAATGCAGCCGAACGCTCAAGGCTGTTCCACAGTAACAGGATACTTTTCTGGGCTGGTTGGTTGAACGCTTTTGCGCTGTTTCTCATTATGCTGTTCCACAGATTTGCTTTCGTGGCAACCAAAACGACAGAAACGGCAAACTCACCGCTACACGTCTTGGACGTACAGAACGTGGCAAGCGGTGCAAAAGCTAGCTTTGCGAAGCAATCGTGTGTAAAGGTTGCTTTGGTTGTTTCTGGCGTTTTATCTGTTATAGGAAAAAAAAAAAACTGGAAAAGGCACTTTTGTATTTTGATAGCTCGCCAGTAGTAAGGTATATATAATATTTTGAAGGTGAGAATGGGGTTTTCTGCTGGTTCCTATTTTGGCCCACAGCTTCCAGCTTTGGGTGTGTTTTTTCTGAGCCGCTCGCCCGAGTTCCCACGTTTAGAATGAAAGGGCACGTTTATTACACAATACGCAGCTTCCATTTGGTCTTTTTTTTAATTTGCCATGTTTACTTTGCCCCGATATCTCAAACCATGTCAAAATAAATGCTTAAATAAAAAAGAGAGGGGTATTTTTTTTTTCCACGCGTTACGGCGTTTTGCGGTAGTGCTGTGCTAGTGGCACGGACTTGATGAACACGATGTCTGATAGACTGGCGCCCGCCCTATCAAAAAGAGTAAAACAAAAAGTTGCGGAACGTAAATGATGAATTGCCTAAATTTTGACACGTGACAGAGCGTGCAATAATTACCTTTCGGAATGCACCGATCATTTTTTTTTTTTAATTTATTTATTCTTATTTTTAATAGAGGTCCTCTTTTTCAATATAACTAGATCAAGCTCCAAGACCCTGCGTTTACTAACGACATGAAAGATACAGCGGAGCACAAACAAACACGAAGACCGCCTAAAAAAAAATCCACACGCTAAATTCCTCCCCGAATGCTTCACCCCTGTCGCTTTCTCACGCGCCTTTTTGATTTTATTTTTACAACACTAGACAGCCGAACGAAGGTGTTAACATCGATTCTAGTTACTAACTAGATCGAAACACTGACACTGGTCTGAGGTGCCGGCGACAGCAAGAACACCACTGACCCGTCCCCTTTAATCACTTTTGAACTTACAAAGTCGATAGGACAGGATATTAAGGGGAAAAAAAAATCTTCACCACGAAACTTTGATGAGCCTGAACGGCGTCGTCGCGCCAAAACCACCTAAAATGACAAGGCCTGCGCATGACGTCATCTTTGGTGGACCCCCGACCCGTACAAAGCGGCAAACCGGCTGAACCTCGGTGAGAGTCACCGCACAGCGGCAGACGCGTTCTAGCGTCGGGCTCCTTGTGAGACACTGCACAAAGCGCCGGCGGCGACGCTGACGCGAGCTAGGAGGCGCCGCGCAGATCCACTAAAGATGACGTCAGTGTGCGACAGATGCAGGCCTTGTCTTGTAGGTGGCATTGGTCGTGCCCAGAACGAAACCAGCGCTGTCTCCTCCCGGACGATGACGGCGGAACCTCGTGACTCGTCCGAGGACCCAGAGAGAAAGTTGAGAATGTGTAGCAGCGGTCACGCCTTCCGCCCAGGGCGACCGCCGGCTCGCGAAGGCCGGAGCAACGCCAAGCGATCTGACGTCTTCAAGAAGGCGCGTCATGATTGCAGACCAGGCCGACGGGCCGTAGAAGTCGACGAGGGAGAGGGGGCACGGAACCAGTGGTACCAGGAGGTGGTGGGGGGAACAAAAGCCCCGGCTACCCAATACAGCCGAGATGTCGATCTCGTCCGGTCCGATTAATGCACGAACCGAGAGCCATCCGCTGGCGGCAACCGCCTCCGGGGTAACTGACATCCTACCAGAAGTTCTGGAGCTGCTGCTTCTAGAAGCCAAAAGTGTGCGTGTTTTGCTTGCTGCTGCGTGTGCCTCTCTCTGGACAGGCGTCTAATTCCACTTTCAGTTACCCCCCCCCCCCCCATTTTTTTTATTGTCCTTTTTTCTCTTATTTTATTTTTCTTATTTTACCCTTCTGCGTCGTCTTTGGAGCTGAATGCGCCCTGTTATTAGGGGTCTGTAGGATTCTGCCGTCGCTTCGCGTCGGGGCAGTCAGTGACTGGGTTTCGGGGGTCTCAATTTTAACCCCCTTTTTGTTATTCCTCTTGGTTCCCATCTTTGCAAGTAACTCGAGATCGGTTCCAGTTGAGACTCGATACAGATTTAATAGCCGCGCTGGGTCTATCGTTGCGTTTCGGGTGAGAGTTTTCTGTTGCTTTTGCTGCGTGTGAGTCATTTCCGCCAGATTACTGCTGTTTCTTTTCTTTTTTTTATTATTGTCTCTCGAAATTAAAAGGTGGTGATTACCTTATCTTCCCAATCGGTATATTTTTTTTTTTTTTTTTTTTTGTTTCTTATCAAAGTCGTGGTTACTTGGCGCCTCGCAGCTCCCTGGTCGTTCGGTTAATTTAACTTGCTTCAAGGTTGCCGCTTGGCTTTGACAAATCGTTATCGCACTTGCTGAGACAATCATCTGCTCAAGAAACGATTAGCCAAAATGAAAGGATATATTTTTTGTTTCATGGGAATTTATGTTTGAATAATACTTGGCTTGGTTTAATTGATCCCAATTTCACATTGCTAGAGACGCGTGGGATATCTTTTATTTTGATCTGAGTCAAATGGAACAAGAGTCTCACCATCTGTGGGGGGAAAAGGCGGCGTGGCGAATGCAGCCATGTCACGTGGGTGTGTGGTCGTTGCGAAAAAATTCGTCGCAGCTTCCGTGTACGAGTGTAGTAGACGAGAGGCGTCGGCCAAAATTGTTTCGTGACTTATTTTTATGCAACTGTGTCTAATGGCGGCGGCAACGACGAGGCGTTGGCTGGGGGTTAGCCATAACATTCCCGATATCATTGTCTAGGGCGGAAGAAAACAACGGCAAAGAAGAAATCCCAAGGCTGTTGGTGCGTGTGTCTTGTAGCTGAATGAAGGGGCTGATACCCGAACTCCCACATTGTTTTGTTAACTCATCTCCAGCGTCCTGGGAAAACTGTTTTTGTAAAGTTTATTCTGCCTTTTTAATATCATAGCCCCAAAATTGTTATTGAAAATTAGTCGGCAGATGTAGTTTTGATATATTTGACATGAAAACAAATTGTCACGACAGATGTAATAATAGAATAATATCTCTAGCGGATCAGCAAACCACATTGCGGTAGGAGCCATGTCACTGTCCCTAATCGATCCTCTTGAACTCGCTTCCTATCATCGGGATTTTTCTTTTACTTGAGCAGTTCTCTTTTACTTTCTTTTTCAAATGGAACTGAAAGATATTCCGGAGGGCGTACTCACTCGGGGGAGGCAGCTTTGACTTGAGCATGTCTAAGGCGACAATGTTGATGACCATGACCCAGCAGGAACAGTCCAGGAGCTCCGGGCTGTCCTTGACGAAACTGACGCAGCTGATGCACTGCGCCTCGAGGTGTCTGCGGTCAGGGTAGGCCCGCTTCAGCTCGCGGGCCACGTTCTGTTGGAACTTCTTCATCTCGAAGAACTGGAACAGGAAAACGCGACCACGGGGAATGTCAGGGAAAAGAAGGAGGCAAGGTTTCTGACACGTGGAAACATTTGAGCCCTCAAATGCCGGCCTTCTCGTGGAGTACCAAATGTTTTTCGCCAGGAAATCAAGGTGTCCAAAATAGCATCTACCCTATCTACATCTGCTCCTTCTGAATCATATCAACGCAATCTGCAAAACATATTTAAGCTGAATCACTCGGTAGTTTATTTATTTACTATTACTACCAGTTTCATTCTGAGCTTTAGTAGGGTGGTCACAATATCTGCTCATTCTGGATCATGTCAACGCAATCTGCAAAACATATTTAAGCTGAATCACTCGGTAGTTTATTTACCTTCTATTACCACCAGTTTCATTCTGAAATTCAGTAGGGTGGTCACAGAGTTTTGAAGATCATTCGTTTATTGGTGATGCAGTTCAAGAGCAAAGAGTAATAAGTGATCAATTTACTCAAAAAATAGGATGAACATACTTGCACTACGGAGACAAATGTACGTATATAAACCACAATGCAAGGTAAGACACAATATACAACACAATCTCTATAAGAAGCAATAAGAAAGTACAGTGGGCCAATCACAAACTGACGCGAAATAATTGCGTAGGGCAGACGTTGAGAGAACAGTAGTGTGAAACTGTTGAGATCGGTTGTGAGCTTCATCTGTTTTTTCCGTGAAATACCTCGGTGTGAAGTTTTCACGGTGGGGATGAACGCCTCAAAAAACGAGGACGAAGAAAGCGAGGACGAAGTGTATGCAGAGTGTTTTTTGTATGATGTATAGGGCAGTGTGACGGCTGCGTTGGTGAGTACCGTCGCCTCGCGCTTTCTGGATCCGGGCTGGGCGTACGCACCTATTTTAACTCAGCCTCGATCCGAACAAAGTGCCGCCGAAAGCACGGTCCAGTTTCTCGTGTTGCCATACGAGGGCAACCAACTCCCTTGACGCGGTCTTTCCTTTTGTCATACGCCGACTTTGCCTGCACGGCCAACGCCGTAATCGATTCAAACACGTCCGCTATTACGAAGCCTCGGTTTCAGAGTCGGGCAACAGTTTCCTTTCTGCTGATATGCGAGCCGCTGCGGTTAAAAACAGAAAAAAAATATATTAGCAGCAACCAAAAAAGAAAAGAAAAACTCTTGTATGTAAAACCAGGTTTCGGAGCCAGCGGGTCGCCCTATGGTTACCCCCTTTGGCACGGTTCTAGGGTTTCACGGTGGAAATCGCGAACTGCGAATCAAAGGGCTTTCCGAAAAGAAGGGACGTCGAATCAGGCGTTCAATTCAGTAAAATAAAAAAAAAAATTATAAAAAAAACATTCCGGGCGTTTTGTCGTCTCGTGTACGGAAAACGCGATGATCATCTTTCTTGAGCGTGCTCTGCTTTGAAATTGCCATCTCTGGAATCAGCACTCGGGGACTGTCCGTGTTTTTCTTCTCCTTTCGCTATCCTATTATTTCTTGCCTGCGCACGTGTACGACTTTGCTGCTGTAGAGGTTGCAAAAAATATGCGCGAGGGGAGGGTCAACCAACTGGTAAACAGGGGGGGAGTCACGCTCCATTTGAAACCGGAAGTATTTTCGTTTCGGAAAGAACCTAAACCTGCCATTTTCAGCTCTTGCGAACTTCTTCGTACAAAAATCAACGTTAAGTGCTCCACCGGGTGCTTCAGAAACTGAACCAGGTTGTTTCAGTGGTTACGGCAGGTTACAAGATATCAGACCACATTGTAGTTTCTACACCGAATGTCGCAGTATTATTGCTTCAGGCGTCACCATCATTATTGATTACTTAAAATTTTCTTATTAAACACAAAATGCGGCATATTTAAAGTACGCATTCACCAACCGTTCAAATAAAACTAAATGCGCACAACTACAATTTTTTAAACCTGCGTTGTATGAGCAAAAACCCAACAAATTCGATCAGTGCTAGTATTGTATAGTCTTCATGTTCATGATCCAAACACTGCAACAACCACCAGCTCATCCGGGCACTGCCCCCCATTTAACAACATCGCGAAGGTACGGGACATTGCCTTGCCGGAAGCAATCATCAGACCCGTTGTCTTTTTTTCATTTCGAAACGGATGAACAGATATGCTCCGTTTCACTTTAAACGGAGCGCCCAGGACGCTACGCGCTACCGTAGCCAATCACATGCTGGGCAAGCTGTCACGTGACCTTCCATCGGGGCGCAGCCACGCCCCGAACACCTTGTCACCTGACACATTCGCAGCGCCGCGGATCGGCTGAGATGTTTCGTAGCTCCTGCCGCGGTCCGTCCTCTAAGGTGAAACGGAGCATAAGCGAAGCTTGTCCGCAGGGAAGTTGCAGAGAGGGAACAGATCATAGACCGCTAATCGTGTCGGCGAATCTAACGGACCAGTGAAAGCCGATCCATCTTAGAAAGCGGCGCCTAAACTTCTACGGTGATAGTTCGCCCGAGAGCTATGAACTTTCTTGGGCGCGCGTTTGTACGCAGACCGTACGTGGAAATCAGATGGCGCATTCTTTTGGGGTGGATCCTATAGAAGCATCGTCCGCATGCCCATACAGCCATTGCGTTCCCTTTTGCTGATCTTTACGAACGCTGAAAGCCAAGTCGGATCGTTTTTCTTGTCAACGCTAATGAAGCCGCCACCGCGTAATACGCCCCGATCTTGTACGGCTCCAGCGGAAGATGCCAGAGCGGGATAATCTGATTCTTTTCCCGTGTTAAGTTGAAAAGGCACGACCGGGGGAATGCAACTCTTTCCTTGTTGTCCTTAGAATGCGTAACGTTTGATTTGACTGCGGTTGTGTACTTTAAATTTCCGCTTGGTTCGCGGGTAAGAAATTCGTAAAGAGTGGCGAGTTCTGCGGGGGCAACGGTACGCCACATCAAAAGATGTGGAAACAAACACTCCCGCTTATTTGTGATTGATCTACAAACTTATAGTATTCGTAAGGCTCAAAGGTAGGTGCGAAGATATGCTACGCAAATTTCAAACAACTGATGGAAGGTTAGAACTAAAGGCTACTTCTCTCAGTCGAATCCTCCAGCTCCAAGCTTTGGTGGTATTACGGCTGCGATACCATAATGGAAGCTAGTACGATACCCAACAGCCATTACACGCAACATAATCGCCCCATAATACTAAATGCTTCCTTTGGTGTGTATATCTGTCGACAGCTGGTGATAGCAAAAATAGCAAGTAAGACGTGCGATACGATATCCAACCTCCGTGTTTGTTTCAAATAATTTACCTGATTAGGGGTACGCGAAAAGACTGTCCTTTACACGATTTCATTACCTTCATAATTTAAACCTGAGACAAGGAGACATGAAATAACGAAACAAGGCGACACAAAATCGTTTTGTCTATTATTTCATTTCTCCTTATCTCAGGGTTTAGATTATGATGCTTTCTAACAAGCTACTAGCTCCTTCGCCGCTTGCAATTCTTTTTTTTTTCTTTTTTATTGTGTTTGTACGAGTCACTCAATTTCTCGACTCCCTATGTTTGTCCAAAAGTAATCAAAAGAACGAAAACGGTTGTAAAGCATTACATACTGCATCTCTAATTTGTAGATTAATCGTGTACGCTCAATAAAGCTTACAACCTCCACAAAATATATGCTTTTACTTTTGGGCGAAAGCGAGACAAAAACGTGTCCAGGTATCGCCCCCCGTTCGCAGTAGCGGTTCCATTGCTAGCAATAGTAATAGTAATCTTTATTGGCTCCGGAGGGCCCTGGCACCGCGGAACGGTGACAGCCCGTATCATGGGGGCCCGCGGTGCTAATATACAAAGGACAAACTGCAGACTCTGGCTGAAGCGTACGTTTCTTCCTTGTACGCTGGTCCATACTGGTCACACGAAAATTGTCTTTAGACATGCTCAAAGCACACATATGTGTGAGGCAAACATGCTGCGCAACATGCTTGAGGCGCTCATGCAGATGGTCCCGTCATCATGTGCTACAACAAAGCACCACGTCTTTTGTTTTTCGTTTTTTTTTATTGCAATTGCGTTGGGTGCTTAGGTACCGTATTCTCGACAACATAATTTGCTTATTATGCGTTGTTCCCATTAAAATTACGATGACAGGTTGATTGCGCTGCTTTAAGCCTACACGACGTTTTTCGCGGTGAGCTAAATGACAGACAGAGGCTACGGGCTCTCTGAGATCTTTCGCGAAAGAAACGAAGCAGGCCTGACAACTCGGGAGACAAGGGGCTCAGAGAACATCGTTGAGACCTTGTCCCCCCCCCCCCCCCCCTGCTGACCGTCGACCGACTGTGCGTCTCGTTTTTCGAAAGGTGTTCGTCTGTCACCGAGCGTTCTGGGGAATGCCTCGTTTCATTGACCCAGAGACCTCTTCGAAGGTCCCCGCGGGACCTTGCGGCGTCCAACGGGTGATTAGGATGCGCGTAGTCCGGGCGCCTACCTTGACAGGCTTCTCGAGCTCCAGAAGTCCGTTGTTGCGGATGATCTCCGAGGAGACGCTGCTGTTGTCACCGCCCGAGATTTCTTTGACGTAGACGTTGCTTTTGCTCACGCGCTTGAGCATGATGTTCCCGGCGTCGTCCATCTTGATTTTGACGCCCTGCAGCGAGCGAAACGACAAAGTCACTCTCGGTCAGCGGTTTGCATTAGGCTCTTCATTTAAGTGGCTTCCATAAATACCAACTATACATCTTTTTTTTTTTTTTTTTGCTTTGGTTGAAATATGTTTTATAAAAAATAGTCAGAGTGCAGGCGAGCTGGTGTAAGTTGAACATGATTGTAAACCTGAGACTGGGGCAGAAAGAGAACACAACAGAAGGTAGTAAAAGAGGAGGCAACGTCTCAAACTCAGCTGCAAAGTTTATTTTGAACACGCTTTATATACCCCATCTCCAACGCCAGTAATATCTTGTGTTTGCGGATACTGTGTTCAAAGCACTTTACTCAGTGCGTAAACGGGATATTTGAAATGCGGCTTGCCAGACATTTACAAGAATACGGCGACGTACCAAAGTAGAGTGGCGTACATATCCTGCTTAACTGATATTTTGACCGTGATATAAGCTCAATAAAGTTTCTCAGTCAAAATTGACGGATAGAGTATTTCAGTGTAAAACACATTTGTATTGCAACCTAGAGTTCTACGCAACCTGTAGCATAAACTTTTACACGCATTGAAAACTAACTTCGAAACCTGCTTAGCGTGAAATACTCCTAAAAGAATGGAACTTTTGCCAACAACCGGCACTAAGTGACCTAGATTGGTGATAATGTAATTAGTTAAAAGCTTTCACGAACTGCTCTTGGTGTATGAACAAGAAACAAGCAAAACAAAAACGAAGATAAAATAAAAAGAATAAAATGAAGAGCTTGATATTCCAGTAGTATTATTCTGATATCCTACAATAATTTTATAATAAGCTTTATTTCGTTCGAACCTTATTTTGAAATCATTATATTTATTGGTGGCTTGCGTGCCGTAGGTCGCACGGGACTGCATAAACACTCTGATATCTACAAAATTAATACCGCTCAGCCCGTTAATAAGTCTACTGCCCCGCTCTTGACGGCTTGCAAATAGAAGGGAGGGGCTGACTTTCACATTTTCTTCATGCGCTGCTTTATACTCTTTTTCGAAAATGTCATTTGGAGAGTACCCAGCTTCTAAACTAATCTGAGCGCGCTGGAATGGGAGCGTTGGTCAGTTTGGCTCTCGTTCACGGTCACCTATTGGACGCCAGCAATCAACCTGGCGTTGTCCACCGGCCTCCTATCGAAACTTTTGCGGGCTGAACACCGAAGGACGCATAAAACGGGAGCTGTAGCACTCTCGAGAATTGATGTTTCGACGTGGAAACGGCACTATGTCATCCGAAGGCGCGCCACTGAGCAATCCCCGGTAATGGAGTTGCTATAGATATAAAGAATGGATTGTCAGAGACGCTCGAGCGCTTTAACATTTGCGCAGGAAATCGATCTTGGGAAACACGCTTCATGAATTTCCAACGTGTCTATTAACAATAAATAAACAAAAATAAAATATCAAAATTTGGGAGTGCCATTGTCTTGTTACGTTGTCTTACATACCTGACAGTTCGAAGCTAGCTTCAATCTTCGCGATTTCCTAGTTCCACAGGTATCTTATACATGTTCTTCAGGCTACTCTCCGACTTAATTAATATTTTAAAAAAAACGCTACCCATATATAGTAGTTAATTTCAGCAGCCCAAACAGATCACTGTTCATTGTGACTAGCTGTTCTGACGGGCTACTGCCTGGCACGCTATGCGCAGCATTGACTTAAGTAAAGGTTGTGACATTTGACAATTAACATCGAGCTGTACGAGCAAAACGAGAGCAAGAACAAGTAAAACGCTTCAACGTAACGTCGGAGTATTGCCGTTTCAGCCGTGCCGGAACAGAACCGTGAACGTATGCGGCAAATAAACCGCGGCGCGATGGACTTCTACCATTACCATTTCTTTCTTTTTCTTTCTTTTTTTACAGAGTTGAGCAAGATTACGGTTGGCTGAAATGTTTTTTCACGGTACGTTCCGGGCCTGGTTCGTCACGGCGGTAACGGTCACCATATTACGATAACGCGATACATACATTAGAGCGTTTTAGTAGAGCGTGCACAATAGAGCTTTGCTTCGCTATCTGGAGCTTGTGTCGTCACTTTGAAACATGGATTGAGCACGCGCCCGCCAGGCCCGCAATCCGGAGCTTCGCCCCTCAACTAAAACTCTATATTCTAACCGAGTGCGTGCAATCGATCTTCCAAGTGGTATTTCTACTCCATCGAAGTGGTTACTCTATACACAATAAGGGTGCACGGTGCATTAACGTGACGTCAATTCTTCCTCGGAAGAACAATCGGTGTGTTCGATCAATACCACCTAGAGGACGAGGCTCGCGTGTGACGTCATCACTAGTGGACCCGCCCCAAATGGCGGACACGCTGAAGCGCGGTAAGAGAAGACCCATAAGGGTAGACGCGTCCTTCTTGGCGTCGCCGCGTTCTAGAGAACTGCGCCCGTTAAAAGACGCTGCAGGATGCGCTGGAGGCAACGCTGACGGAATCTAGGTGGCGCTGCGTGGATCCACTAGTGATGACGTTTTGGACCGGGAAAGTGACAGGCCTCCTCTCACGTGTGGTATTGGTTGGATCTGGGACTCGCACGCAGCGGGTCACCACAAAGGCGCAAACAACATCTGATTCAGTTTGCGCGATTCAAGACAGGCCGGTTGACCGCGTGATTGAGTTGCGTGCTAAGTTGTTCCGGTCCGCTCTTTTTCTTTTTTCTTTTGTACGCGCGTGAGAGAATCGGGCCGACAATTAGGCCACGAGGACCCATTGTGCCGAGACGTCGTCGTGATGTCGTCTCGCGAGACGGGGGGACGACCCCTTGACGGTGTCACCGCAATGTTGTTCTCACGGATCGAGCGTAGAATACATGCGCTGTTCGCCGGAAGTTCGGGTCATCTGAAGCCACACTCTATACTTCGTTTCACTTCAAAGACTCGTTCACACACTTCCGTTTGCTTGCGACCGAATTCTTGCGATCTCTTACGACGAGAGAGCGCGCTGACAAGCGGCGACATCTTTGAGATGACCCTGTAACTGCATTTCAATAGCGAGAAGGCTTTGCTGTATTTTATTATCAAATACAGCAAAATTTTCCTAGATGAGGTGTAGGTACTATCATAGAGAAACGGTCGTTTATAACATCGCTAAAGATTTTTCGAGTCAAAACAGACAAACAAATGATGCGCGAAAACAAGGAAAAAAATATACAGAAATGCCAGGTGTTCCACGGTCACCCAATAGATGGTGCCCGCGTGTTCCTTCGTCGTAAGGAAATAGGCGGCACGGAAACATATCACTTCTGTATTCTAGGCTAGATGGCGCAAGCTACCTCCCGTTATAAAAGCTACGGCCGTTAGAATTCATCCATTTATCCATCCATCGCGAGAAATCTATGAAAGATTTTAAGGCACACGGTCGTAAGCAGTCGAAAGTACGGCCTTCAGCCCGACCGCAGCCGATGCTACGATTCGGTGGAGCCACACAGCAGCGCCAGGTGGCGCCACCCGATCCAAAGGGCTCAGCCGTATTCATCCATCCATCCATCCATCCAGTTCGTTGAATCAATTTTCGTTCGGACACTTTCGTGGAAAACTGCCTGTTCAGATGCAGCGCTCACGTTGTAGCGCTGGCGCTGGTTGGACAGAAGGCAGTCCTTACGTCGCTTCCTTGAAGAAAGTGAAGCCTATGGAAGCTCGCCTCATGACAACACATCTCCGCAGGTTCGAAACGTGGATGATAAAAAGCGGGGCAAACAATTCTAAGTCTAATGCCCGGTCGCTGATGCCCCAGCGTTGTGCGTTGAGCTGGCACATGGCACGGCACGACCTATTTTAGACCGCCATATTTGCCCGATAGTGGCGTCCCCTGTAGGTCGCTGGAGTCGCGAATCGTTGTTACCCCAATTCGTTCTTCAGCTTCCTACGAGTTATTACGCCGGTGTTCATTCTGCTCAAACTGTTCTTCAATCGTTTCGGTGTTGATAGGCCGGGGCACGTTGGCCGGGGTCACACTGCTTATACATCATAGAAATGACAGTCTGCGGAGATCAGTCACCGCGATATCCGTGCTTCGAATGCCCCGCGACAAGTTTCTCCTTCAACTCGTTGCCATGCGGCATTCGAAGCACGGATCTCGTGGTGACTGCCGTTCGAATGTGTTTGCAGACTGTCTTTTGGCACGATGTATAGACCTTTTTCACAAGAGTACCGCCATCTTGAAATATCGTCACTTCCAGTATGGGCGAAAAAATTGTTTTTCCGTCGCCACGTTAATAGAATGCATTTAGGAGATAAGCGTAACCGTCGCCCATTCTCGTTTTGTCTCCCCTCTATTTTTTTTTTTACTATTTGCAGGTTGAAGCGTTTTAATATTTTTTCGTCGCCCATACCGGATGGGCCTTCTTGGCAGCCGGGGACGAGAGTAAGCGGAAAACGTCTATAAGCAGTGTGACCCCGTCTTTCAGCACGCGCACAAGCTCGAGATGATCTTGAAATGTTCCCACCACACCATGAAACTCCTCAAAAGGTAAATCTTGGAAGCCCGCGAAATCGACACCACCGTCTGATGAGGAGAGGGCCAGGCAAAGAATAACCCCAAACTTCGAGAGTGAATGTCCATTACCCAGTGGCCGATGCAGACCAGCGATAACACGAAGCTGCGCAGTAAAACTACGCCTATAGTCACACGTCGGTAATAACGAAAGTCCGGGGCTACATTATCACACCCTCCCCCTGAAATTCAGTCTCGCGTGCGCTCTAAAGTGGTGTGTACTATCACACTCCGGGTACCAGTATCATCATGGTTGACTATACACGATGTAGCGCACGGTACCCACGGTACGCATGGTACACGTGAGCAGTTCAACAACTCTGATAATTTGGAGTGACGACGACCCGTACTGGAGTTCCAAGGACGATCGTGGTGGGGGCAGCTTGCTTCCTCCGGACATCTTTCTTTTTGCTTTTATTTTTGTATTTAATGTTTATTGTGTGTTTTGGTTTTTCAGCCCC